TCCTAGTGCATTTTATTAAGCTTTACCTTTGGTGTTAAGCAGTGACTTATTAGATTTCCCTTTTAAACAATTTCTGGAGTGAAGATTCTTTGGCTTTGGGGGACTACGCTATCTAACGACAGCCAAACATCCTTTTTTTTTTTTTTTTTTTTTAAAGAAAAATATATGCCTACTATTAGGTACCATAAGAGATACAGATTTCAGAAACAGACAGACGCAATATGCAGGCTTTCTGTAATGAAATCGCCAACAGCTGAATGCTCACTTACCCTGGATTCCTTCACCTCTCCACTCACCGGAGCAACATAAAGGTGCCTCGTTGTAAGTGAAAACCAGGCCCTATTTGTTTATACTACTCTGAGTACTGAGTGCCGAGCTACCGTCTTCTCCTGCCTGAACGCTTTAACCATACAAAAGAATCGATTGTGCTAGCGGCAACATTGCCGCAACGGCTGTTTTACGCTGCAGTACTTTCTGTACTTTTTTAGTATCTGGAATCCAAATCTGTTTATGCAAAAGGGTGTTTAAATTACTCTGCTAGAGCACTGCAATTATTGTACTTAGTAAAAAAAAGTCACTAAACACTAAACTGTTCATTTACAGCTTATTTAATTATTTACATAATTTTAGGACACATTAACCTAAACCATAAGTAGAATTAACTTTTTGCCTTACCATAAAGTACAAATTAGAAGTTAAAAATGTTTAAGAAATCTGATAATATTTACACACGTTCAGCTTAAGTTATGGTTGCTCACATTGTATGTTCTATGTACACATAGCAAAATGTTATGATCACTACTGATATAGTATTGTACCCTGGCCATCCCACCCTAGATTATTCTCTAGAAATAGTTAATGTTTTTGCCTTTTTTTCTCGGTTCCCTAAGGAATTCGTTGGTTTTGAAAACTTACTAGTGGACAATGCTGTTATAAAAAGAGAGAGAAGAAATAGGCAAGCAATGTGAGGACTAGTCTAATTTCAGATGCTAGGAGGTACAGTACTATCATCATGTCAAAGGGTGCAACGTTCCATACGAATTATAAGCACTGACCTGCTGATATAGAAATGCCCAGTTACCCTGTATAGTAAGTTGGTTTTTTTTAAATACATTAATCTTTTTTTCTGAAAAATATATTCATACACTGGTTGATGGTAGAAACAAAACTATTATTAGCTTATTCCTTTAACACGCCAACATATGAATGTGTGTGCATATATATATATACTCAGTACGTGTATATATACGCATATATGTCCATATAGACATTTAGGTATATGTTCATATGCACATACAGCTGGATAATGTTTAACATCTGTTCAGTACTGTGTTATAGTATAGAATTGGAACACAGTCTAATAATTATAGTGAAAATTAATTGAGCTTTAATTTTAATGCATATTTGTCTGAAATAAATAGGATTTGTTCCCCGGGTGTAAGACCGCCACTCGTTTTCTCTATGCATTGTGCTTTTGTCCCTTACGGATTTTATGTCCTCTGTATTAGAATGTAAAAACACTCTGAAGAACTCTGCGACATGCTGTTATCAAAGACTCTGTTTTCCTCCCCGGGAATGAGAAAAGAAATGGTCACAATGTCATTGCTTGAGTCTTTCTTCCCAGTCATTAAACTGCGATAGGATAGAAACATAACATTCCTTATGCAAACACAGAAACATGTTGCATGAATTTTCAATTCTGAAAATGTGTATCATACTTACTAGCAGTCATGTACAGTATGTATTTACAGATTGATCTCAAAGATTTCATTAAAACTGTGCCATGTTATAGTCATAATTTGCCCATGAATTTCACAAAGATGAAAAACACCTTAATTGCTGGCTATCATGTCTAACAATAAAATGCGCAACTACAAGTATATTACAAGGTTTATCTAAATTATTAACTTTGATATTTTGCTTATTGAAACTAACAACAATTAACACGATTAAAAGGATCTAGAATATTCATTTTCGGTCAGTTCTAAACTAAAAGCAGATTTATTCTAGTTTACCCTGGAGGGCAGCGCACATAGCAAACCCCATCTCTCATCTCTGTTGGCGTAATTTCGCACTTTCACTCAAGTATCTCAGAAGAGGAGTAAGTGCTCACCTTGGGCTCGAGTTATACTTTTCCCTTGACAGTGCCTCGCCAGTCTTTCTCACCCCCGTCTTTTTGTATCACAGTGTTAAGCCTTAGTACAAAATGATAGAATCCTTCTCTTTCACTAATTTTATACATCACATTAATAGCCAGAAGGACATAGTAAAAGCGAGAGTGCTCCTTCCCCCCACATAATACATCTTTCCTAGTGACACCTGAGCAGAAACCAGACATTTTCTTTCACTCTCTGAACAGCAACATCAGAGAGCATTATGGCTTGTACTGTAACTTCAGCGAAATGAACGTGCAGTTCTAGGGTTCAGTTTCTGTGGTTTTCATTATAGCTGACGCAGTCAACCAATGCAGAGAGTCAACATGTTCTCTGTAAGGTTTCATATTTGATGCGTATCAACCACAAACAGGCTGTGAGCTCCCTGTATTCACACTATGCTTCTGTGAAATAAAAAAGGAGTTGGCAGCAATTTGTGAAATGAAAGAAAAGCTTGTACAGAAGAATACTATAGGACTGCTTTTATTTATGATAATTAATACCATTTTTAAAGAACAGACTTTGAAGAGAAATATTGAATTTTGACGTGGCTCCTTTTCTTAGAACTGGGAAGAAATTCCAACATGATTCATACCTATCAGCTGAAATTCCAAATGCATCTACAAAGCTTATTGCGTTATGCACGAAATGCAGTCAGATATTATGTGAACAAAAAGCAACGTTTTGACTTGGAAAGTTAATCACATGATGAAAGCCTGTCTCTACATCTTGCAGAGTCTGAACCTGGAGGCAGTACATGAACGTACCCACAGCTCCCTTGGAAACAAGAGGTGGTGTGTATGCCTGGCAAATCCCATTTCAGGCTGAAAACTACTCTCTCCCATTTGAAGCAGAAATAAGCATATGCTATGCTCAAAACAAAGTCAGAAAATTGGCCTATTAGTTCCCAGAACTGTTTTCCTCCTATCGCTGTCATTCACTGTCAAATGGGGAAAAAAACCCACAGAAACTTGTAAGAAAATTTCTCATTTAAAGCAAGAACAAAAAAATCAAAGAAAATCTTTTATGAAAAATCTTCTTAAGAACTATCTTAAAGTATTGCCAAAGGAATACTTAAATGCGGAAAAAGTATCTGCCTGAAAAAATTCCTTTGCTATTAGGAAGATACTTGAATTCTAGTTTCTTTCAGAAATTTGTACACAGGTGAGAGGTAGCATAGATACAACAGATGTGGCTTCTGCTTCATGAAATACTTTGTGTCAAACAATATTGGGGATCTGATTTAGTGAAAGCCATCAGGAATTTATACTTCTTATACAGTTCTTGCAATTTTTTTTTTTTTTTCACTACAGAAAAAGGTTCCACAATGGACTAAATGGCAAACTGCCTAAAAAATTCTACTTTTTGTCTACTCTATTTTCCCTAGAAGAGTAAAGCTCTATGGAGTGAAAAAAAAAAAAAACAACCCCAAAACCTATTTTTCAAACAGTTTCCTAAAGCAAAACTGAAATTTGCTAGTTTTTCAATGGCAATCACCCTAAAGCAGGAACCATTCAAGAGTGTAATTAAACTCTTAAAGTGATGGCTACCAATTTTTTCCCTTTAAAACAGTGCATTAAGGAAAACAAAATAAAAAATGAAACGGTATTGCATAATCCAGAGTGAGAAGGTACCCTGTCAGTATCTTTTGTACTGAAGTACACATGCTCGGATCTGCACTGCTGAAGGAGGTACGATACCTTTAATCAAACTGGATGTTAAGCATAACAAGAGGGGCAAGCACAACACTGGAAAGATTGCAAACTTGGAAGAAATCACACAGCTCCACGTGAGTATTTCAGACTAAGGTATGTGCTATCACTGACAACATTCATTTCCACAGTGTGTGCGTGTGTGTGTGTGTGTATACACACACACATACATCCTTTTACATATATGTAGCCTTCCCTCTCCTTGGCCCCATATTTTGTAATTGCTCTCTAGCTCTCCCTACCTTAGAAAGGCAGGGCACCATTGCTTTCCTTCAGCCACCTAGAGAATTACTATGTGGCCAGCTGATTTTGGCACTTTGGACAGCTGATTTCCTTTCCCCGACAGAAAACAGGAGCATATCTACCCCTTCGGAACGGATGCATTTTTATCCCATTGCTACATTCTTCTGTTGATCACAACTACAGTCATTGTGATTGTGAGCATATGTTCTCTCTTTAAAATCCAAATAAAACTAGTGCTTTTTGCTTCGGCTTCTGTGCAAACACCCAACCCTAAGATTACCAGTCAAAGGTTTAGTTCTTTCAATAAGTACCAGAAATACCTGAACACGGTTGGGAAACCTCTGACCATCATCATCTTGGAAAGATGATAGGCACTACTTGTTTTCAAGTTTACACATTTAAAAGGTACAGTGTATATGTTTCATAAGCATGATAACAACTTAGCACACTCTCTTAAGTGTAGATTCGTGCCTTGGATATGCAGTTTCCCTGGGAATGGTACATACTGCTGTTGAAACTAGAACTTGTTTCTCAAATGCCGCTCTATAATTTGTATCACTAAACTCAAATAGCCATTAAAAAAAAGGAAGAAGAAAAAAAAAAAGAGAGCAAGGGACAACGAGACAGAAGTGATTGTCAAAATCCAATTTGCCTTCACGCTCAAAATGCACTTATATTTTGATAAGGGGATACGTCCGTACTGCAACTTAACATCTTTACGATTTAGCAGATAAAACGAAAACATTATAAAAACAGACCAGAGAGTGGGCCAGCAACTAAGGTGTTTTAAAGTAACTTTTTGTCCTGAATAGAATTTTTCTAAGTCCCACTTTTGGCTGTACAACCGATTTGAAGAGAAATCCAGTTCTTGCTTCCTGTGTGGCTTTGTTTCTTAGTTCACATAGTAAAGCCAATAGACAATATTGAAAAAGGAAAAAACAACAGGGAAGAATATGCGCGACCATCGATCTATGGCATTTACATCAGTCAAGTCAGGAATGGTGATTTTCAGTTGAGATGCACGTCTCCGTAGCCTACTTTTCTTCTGTGCCACGTGTCGCTCCAGGGCGTTGCGACCAAAGCTGTGCCTGGGTAAGCCAGCTTTCCGGTACTGGATGCTTGAAGTGTCATAGGCCAGCATAGTGCTTCTAGGGTCCCCAAGCCCCATCACAGCCTCGGAGGCAGCCATCTCGTTTTTAATTTCGAGTGTGCTCAACAAAATATTTTCATGTGGATCCATCTGTAAAAAACGAGAAAGCAGATTTAGCAGGAGAGGAAGGAAGCTCAGGCAGTTGCAAACTGAAGCCATGCTGACAAGGGCTAGATCTAACATTACTAATTCACTGGATGTCGGCCTGTCTAAAAGACTTTAAGCATAGCCGTAACTGTATTTGGTGTCGTTTATTTGTGAACTCAAGGAACAACAAGGCCAGTATAGTATCATAGAATAAATGGTATTTCCCTAGGCCCCATGTTCAGTGAGCAGAAGCAATACCTGGAAACAGAGTACATGCTCAGCTCCTGAAAGTGGGATTCTGCTACTGGGTACGGTATCTGGGGCAAATGTTGTACTTCTGGGGGGGTTTGGAGGGAAATCAAAGGGAAAAGGGTCTGCTTTGTTTTGGTTTTGCTTCTTTAAAATGAAAGCTGCTGCTCTGACAGAAACTTCAGGTATTCACAAGGTCGCTCTGCCTCTATAAGACGAGGCCCAGAGCACTGCACAAGAGAATGCAAATTTTCAGTCCCTATATTCCACACAGGACTGCTGGCTACCTGGGGAAAGGCACTGACATAGTCCAGCGATACCTATGTGGAAACTCCATTCCCCAGTGCTAATGAATTTCATCAATATAGCGCATGCTGGGGAGACCTGAACGCTGGCATAGCAGAGATCTGCAATTTAGAGCAAGGAAAAACATATACAGAGTGTAATCACATCAAATGTCCATTGAACAGTTGTTTCAATGGGTAGTTTCAGCTACTATAGATTTTTTAAAGGCAGTTCGGTGAAAAAAATATTAATGCAATGTTGTAAAAAAACCCCTTAGACAATTAAGAGGATTTCAGAGATGAGGACCTAAATTCTTCTCTTAGGCAATCTGGAGTAAATCTGAAGTATGGTAGGAGAACTTCAAAATAATCCATTTATAGAAAACGAGTATAAGGTTATTTAGGAAGTTCTAATTCTCCTCGGCCTTCCCTCTAAGTATATATTTTGAATTGTGTGATTACAGAGTATAATTAAATAAAAATACTTTAAAAGCAATAATAGCTAATGAGCAGCTAATTAAGTACACTGACTTAGTGATGATAGTGCAGATATACTCCAGGGCAAATGAGAGATGAAACTGTCTCAGAGCTCCCTTAAGAATAACTCGTCCACATTATTCATTTATAATGTACATAATATATACTATGATTATTATTGAAGGTGCACTAACTGTGACTTTTGTGGGTTTCTAAACAATGACATGGCATTAGTCTGTTCTGCAATACTGAGAAGCCAGCAGTCAGCAGCAGGTACCTCGCTGCACTACCCTGTATAGCACCATATATTTGCTATTACTAAAAAAAAAAAACCCAGTATGTAATATTTCACATGACACGGTGAGAGAACTGGGTTGAAAACAGTTCCTTTTAGTAGCAGCCACTGCACAGTATGAGCTGGGAAGCTGGATACTCACAGAAGTACATTGGACCTACTGAAACACTGCCATTTGAGTGATTACATCTGTTCAAGTGGTGCACAAAAATTGGCATCACTGAGATGCCAGATTTCCCTCTCTCTTTTTTTTTCCCCCAGTCTATGTGAGTTTGCACCCCTCTAGTTTCATTATATTTTAGTTTTAGATTCAATGTAATGACTTGATATGAAGTAGCCAAAAAATCATCTATTTTTGCTTGCCTTCCATCAAAGCCATACAAAATCTTTGAATTTTCTAGCGTGTTAGGGAAATCAATCTTTTTGGAGAAGCACTAGGAAAGTTGAGCTGGAACTCAGGAAAAATCCCTCTAAGAACTCTGTAGCATGATATTGAGCATGGTGAGGAAACACTGTGTTCTGGCCAGCAAGGCCATCCAATCAGTTCTCACCTGCCTTAGACAAAACTAAGGCATAAAGAGTATTCTGCTATTGTAATACAAACAAAAGCAAACGTACGCAAAAGCTTTCAAACAGATGTATGAAACTTCTCAAGAGAGCTTGCAAACATTTTCTTACAACGAGTGCAGTTATTTAGAAAATTCTTATAGGATTTTGGGGGTAAGACAAATTGGTTGTCGTTTTTGTTATCACATCTCTGACAAATAAGACGACTTTCAGTATCCTGAAAATAAAAGCAATTATAGGCACTTGGCATTCATTGATCCCCAAAATGTCTAAAAACAAATAGGGCAAATATCTTACAAGAGAGGTGCAAAGCCACTTGGGAATTACATTTTCCCGAGTTTCACGTAGCCGTAAGAAAAGAACAGAAAGTTTAGTTCCAATCAGGGGAAGTTTCACCTAACGTCCACTAATGCAATGGTTTACCCCTTAGCTCAGAGCCTGGCTTATTTTCACCTCCACACTGTGCATTCTAAGATACTATCTTTGGAAAGATTCTAGCGCCAACAAATTTGTTCACATCTTAAATCTTCTTAGGATGAATCTACTTTCAGCATTTTATCCTTTTGATCTGCAATGATATTAGAAATTTGAGTGCTCTTTACACACTCATACTTTCTATGCAACACAAATGCAAGAAAAGTTACTTCAGTCTACTAACGTTAGATATAGACATGTTTTATCGACATGGTATCGCTCCTTCAGTTAACTTCTTGCTTTGATTCTTTTGTCGCTTCTGTTCCCATTTCAGTAACTTTCTTAACACAGCAAACTGCTGCAGATACCTGGTGATTTTGGCAGTAGGTAGTAAGATTAGTGACGTTGGGCAGAAAAAACATTTAGCAATATTCTAAACTATATTCTAGGGCAAAGCGTCTTCTTCTGCGCATATCGCACTGGTATCAGAGTTGGAGCACAGCACTTTTCAATATTCCAAGAATTTTTCAGAAGTAATGCAAAATATAGTAAAAATTAGTGATGGGCGAACCTTCAAGTGTTAGAATAGCCAGCTAAGCACCACAAAGCTCAGGTGCTTCTCAAACGCTAATTTGACCCTCCTGCACCTGGCACAGTGGCTTGACCATAACAAGAACCACATGTTTCATGGTGTTTTGAATTCCCAATCTGAACAACTCCCAGAGTTCCAATCCAGAAGTACCAATGAACATGAAAATAAAAGAAAGAAAGAACCAACCACCACCACCAACAAACCCAGAAAGGAATTAACCTAACTTTTCAACCTTTGACAAAAGGTTCCTTGTCAGGTTAGAGAGAGCTGGGAGCGTTATTTCCACCAAGCAGGTTCGCCCAACTCTAAATAAAACATGCTTTTGTAACTAAGTGAAGCCTGGGAGAGCATGATAATGAACTACGGTTATTGTACACAGCACTGCCCATTCAAAAGGATCCCAAAGCGCTTTCCAAGCTTTAGAAAGAAGAACTTCACTTCCCAGTGAAGCGCAGTCACCTCTCTGGCGTAATGTGGTGACTGACAGTGCGGGCCAACGCACCGTGTTTTAGTTGAGGAAATGGAGAATGCTGTAGCCAATTAGAACTATGGGGCGGGGGGGGGTGTTAGGTAAGCACAACAGTTACATCAATCGATATTGGGCCAGATGCTTGGGGTTGAGATGACCACACTACAAAAAAGTGCCATGGGATCTTTAATGACCACAAGTGGTCAGGACCTGAATTTTAAGTCTCTGAGGATAAAAACATTAGAAAACAATGAAAGATACCTTTGTTGAATACATTTCTGGACAATGATATGTGCCAATTATTCTTCTGTCCTGTAAGTTAATAAAATCAAGACCAGTTTCCTTAGAGATAAGGCAGCTATTATCTTTCATTTAAAATTAAAGCACTCTAGGGTAATAACAGGACAACTAATTAAAAGATACAGGGACCTCTAAGCCAACAATTAGCATAAGTATATTCTGGCTTCAGAGGTGCTATTACTGCCTTGCCCTGCTCCTCACGGTAACATAACTTTGTGATGTAAATGTATTTTTTCCAGCTGGTCACTTGACCAAGGAAGATATGATGATATGAAAACAACTGTTAAAATTATTCTGGGGGAAAAGTAAGTGTAAAAGTGGTTTCAAAAGGAGGTGGAAGAAGGTTAAAAAGATCTCTTCGTGCTGAAGGATTGTTCAACCATAGAACCAGACTCTTTATGGTGAACAGGAGAGTTCAAACTTAATGGAGAGATTCCCAGGGACAAGGAAGGAAGGGAGGATGTGAAGATGAAGAAAAAGCAGCAGCAAGTGCCATGGAAACAAAAGGTGAAAGCAGAAGTGGAAGAGAAATGACCAGAGCTCAGCAACCATGCAAGAGGGTAGGGTTTTTATAAATCAATCTTAAAGGTGGATGACAAAATACATGATGCAAATGATATTCACTTATAGGTCCAGGTCAACTGGAAGAAAAGCTGACTCTGGAGCCCTGAAAGAGGCCATGACCTTTTTGATGGCCTCAAACAAAGGGAATAGAGAGGAAAGCGTAGAAATGTTACCATTATATATTCTTCCTGCTACCTAGAAACTCCAAAATGATGGCTTTCTTGAGGAATTCCTCTTACACTAATACATTAGCAACTGTAAAATACAAGGAAATAACAACTCCCCCACACATACATACGTACACATGTATGTACATTAGGAATCCTCCGAGGATGACCAGATCTTGGAAACTACTAACACCTAGTAAACCAGCATCTTGGTGACTAGGCTCTACTCTTATGCCAAACACAGCTTTATAAGTAGGAGCTAAATTTATATTGATGAATTGAATTGATGATATAATATTGACGTGTTTACTTCCTCATATACTGTTCATTTTCACCTATAATCTTCAATTACAGGCAGGTACTGATGGCTCATTTTATGGCGGAATGGCTCAGAAGCCATGGATAAAATAGACAGTAGGGCTGAAATTTCTGATGGAAAAACCTTGTAAAACAAACCCGTTGCAAATTCAAAAGAAATAGCCTTTGGTTAAGGAGGGCCGCCACTAGCCAAAAGCAACATATGGCGAGCTAAACCAAGAAGGGAGAACAGAAGTTACAAAGATTGACACCTGAGATTAGGTCTCAGCATTTGTAGGTCCTATGATCTGACGTTCTTAAGAACTGA